ATATATATAATGATTGTTGAAAAAGTTACGGATTGATCTCCAGGTAAAACGGCATTATGAGACAATATTATCATCAACGAAAGCAGAGCTAACATGTTCTATGTACGCTGGATGTCCATGGTAATAACTTTAGTTTAGGTTACCAACTTCATTAGTTCATTAGAAATGTATAGTTCAGAAATTTAAAACTACCATTATCTTTATCCAGGTCTTATACGATATTTCGCTTCCGCTTTGTGCAGGTCTTTATTACCAGCTACATCAGTTTTCAATCTGCTGTCAACTTGAATAAACTGTCCGGTTCAAGAATCTTTGAGATAAGTAGACACAGCATTGCTTTCAAATGTTGCTCGTTCCTATTTCAGATGATCTTCAGAAGTTGAGGTAACCGAAACTGTCCGAAGATGCTTTAAGACGACACCCAATCTGTTGGAGAGACATATTCATCGAAAATACCCCGTAATATCCCTATAGCGTGGGCTATTTTCGTACATAATGTCTTAATAATTTAGCCAATACATTCGGGACTGATGTGAAATTAACATGATTCACTTTACTATCGTGTGTTATGTGACAAGTAATCAGAGAATATTAGAAAATAACACATATATTATTATAAGTCCTGTTAAAATACGTGGATCATTAAAGTAAACAGACACATTGTAGTTTTAACGAATAGTAATAAACGAATAAAAACTATTTCATCGTTTATACCCTTACTGTGCTATCATGTTTATCCTGTTTTAAGATTTTCGCGACCTATTTTTTTCTTTTTCCTAATTATACTAAGCGAACCTGAAGAACAACTTGAAAAATCAAAAAAAAAGTTGGCGGCCGTAAGCATCCCGGCGCGATAGACAACGTTTCAGATAAGGTTGAGCGTGTACAATCGACTACAGTAGCCCAAACAGGCCATTATCCGATAGCACAGTGGGAACAGTGCATTATGTGGAAACTGTGCGCACATCTGAGCCTGCCATTAAAAACGATGTGCCTTTGGCCTGTTAATGAGCTTCACAGACGTTGAAATAGCTTAAGTTTTTTTAATTTCAGTTGAAGAACACTGTCGACTATCGTTGACCTGCATGTACGCAAACCAGACAGGGAAATTTGTCCAGTTATGAAAATAGATCCACGTGTACCAAATGTTGCCACCAGCTTGACAAGATCGTTAGATAGAAAGCTACTGCTACTCGTATTTTTCTGGTATGGTATTTTTCTGTACCCTTTCTATCTCGTTTCATCTCGGCCCGCCGCTTACGATGGCTATTATCCCTACTTAGCTGAGACAGGTAAAGACCTAAAACTAAGTTAAATAGTCTCCAGCCTGTGGACCATTAGGCGGCATACAAACTACTCTACGATTTATTTCCTTTCAATCTATATTGAATGATAAGGTGAAGTTCGAACTTTTATTGTGGAGAATTAACTGTAGTACTTCAGAAGCCCGCGTGCTCTGTTTACGCTGAAAGATAAACGGGTCTTCCTTTAGCGAGATATCTAGCCGGTTAAAAAGCAACGAGTTCGAGAGCCCTGCTGCTTGAGCCTTAAGCTATGCTGAAGAACATTACGAAGTCGCTAGTAATGGGGTTAGAAAGCCTGAGGTGGTGTCCTTGTTAAAATACCAGGCTCACAGTGCCCGCCGGAAGCTAAATAAAGTCAAAGCGCCCTCGGGAAATGTCGAGGTTATAGGCCGCTACCACTGCCGCTGTCATTGTTTACCAAGGCAACCTTCGAGTTAAGGACAAAACATAACGACCTAGCAAGTCGAAATACGTGTTATAACATGGTCTAGTACGTCACCATGTGTCAACTCTACCGCGAAAACACTGGCGAAACCTAGAGCTAACAAGATCCATGTTTATCTCACTCAAAACACTGCGACTGCACTGTAACAGGGACACCACGACGATGCTATCGCCTGGAATGGCTAAATTAAGCGTGGAATGTTAACGATAAGCGTAAAATATCTCCGGCCTCTAAGGCCTCGTGGGGTTCGTTCGCCTCAACAGCGGTTGACAGCGGACCTCGCGAAGACAAGCATTAAGGGAAAGAGTTGAGTCGTCGACGTGAACAGCAACAATAACAACCGTGAATGCGTCTTTCTTACTCCATGTGATTCTCTTGTTTATCCTGTGCCGCGTAGCAATAACGTTGTTGTGAGAGTTATCCTCAGGAGTAGCACGGCAAACGGGAAAGACGGAGATAACGGAAGTAAATAGAGTCGAATAGAGTACTGGGGGAATTAGCCAGGATTCGGGTAGCAAGATCGTGTCGGAGATCGGAGTCGGCTCGTATTCTTAATATATACATGAGTACGGGTTGGGGCTGCAGCGGGTCTAGGTTCTTTGCACTGCGAGGCACAGTATTGATTGCGATATTGCGATGCTCGCCCTTGCCGTTGAGTGAGTACTGGACATTTCGTACAAAATATAGGATGCTCCATTCCGGACAGCAGGGCCACCACGAGGAAAGGAAAATAGAAAAGATGGAAACTGGGAAGCACCAAGGGAAAACATGGCAATCAGACCTCCGTTAGTTGCCATCGAAGGAATAGCAGCAACAGCAGCTTTGGTAGCAATAACAGTAGTTGGAAGCTAGTATAAGTTCTGGCTGGTGAGATGGTGGCATATTACTGTTTGTAAAAAACGTGCAAATGATGCATGGAAACGCGACTGATGCCTGAGTTGAAAAAGATGGCGCCAACAAGTTTGGACGCTAAAAAGAAACAGGCCTTGCAAATTTTGTTTTGTCCTCATTTTCAGAAGAAGCTGAAAAGTTATTTTCTAGCTGAGATGGATGCTTTAGGAACCTGCTAATGTTGGTATTCAGCATTATGCTGATGTAAAGAATTAATAATGTGATAATTCCTCCTGTTGTTCGTGATACTGATTTGAAGTTGCGTAACAAGACAAACGATCGAGCTGTTACCTAACTATATAAGGGTAAGCTACTAAAAATTTTCTTTAATTAATAACAAATGTTGCGTAGTAGAGCTAAATTATTTGGGAAAAGGCGTCGCCTGGTTACCCATGAGGACGGCCCGTTTCTTTGAATCCGTTATTACAACCACCGTGAACGCCCACCAAGCAAGCATCTGCCTGTCGCTGGTCCAAATTTCAGATTGGCAAGGTTATTACTGCAAATAATTATCAGTACCAGGGATGACAACACAAAGGAATAATAATAATGCCTCTTCATTGGTTTGATAAGTTTAACAAATTCAATTAAATCTAACAAGACGCACTCTGGCTAGGCCGGTACGATATCGAAGATATGATTCCGAGGACTTATTCACAGGAGCGGAGGATGACAAAAAAAAAGAAGGGTGAAACTGTTTTACAAAGTATTCACCGTTTTCAAGATTAACACCCTTTAGCTAAGCCAAAGGATAATTGCACCAAGGGCTTATTCGAACTCTTGACATATCACCAATCGCTTTTAAGTTCTTGCCTGTTTGTTCTGATCCGAAACGCCACTATTTCGTGTGTCGCCTGTTTGTATCGATTTGACGAGGCAACAACGAAGCTTGAATGAGGTGTGAGTCGACGAATTTTACCAGCGAATTGAAGTGATCATCACGGACACATGATTCGACCTGTTCTTCCTGATCTTGCGATTTATGAGATATTTGCGTACCTTGTCGTATCGGTCAGGATGGCAGTGAAGTACATCTTTGGGCTGCCGTTTGTACGTAGTAGTTTGGAGCAGCGGTTGGTCCCGTCAACGAAGACCTGTGCCTTGTATGAACCATGTGGCTGCTGCGAAGGCATTAACCGAAGCTCCAAAGAGCAACAGGAATTACCGCCATTACCAAAGCATTCGTGTGGTGGCACCATTAAACGCTTCACGTTTACTCTGGATTGAGTTACGGAACGTCAGATGATAACGAAATACGAACGTGGTTTCGAATGTATGATTTCCTGTTCAGACGATATCTTACAAAATAATTATGCACGATACTAGTTAGAGAGTACAAATTGCGAGATTGCTTCCCAGTGGATAATATATAAGGCGGATGGACAATGAAGATCTAACTCGCTTCCTAATTGCTTCAAACCGTCGCAAGCGTGATGATTTTCCGACATTGTAAATAATACATTAACGTAACGAGGCAGCGTGATGTGCAAATGCCGATATTAGAGATACGTTGTATAGTCAAGTCGGATAGGTACCGAAATCTAGATCAGTATATCAGGGTTTATGTGGGTCATCCCATGCAGGGCGTCCACATTCGGCCAATGGACATAACAGTTTACGTTGGTAGAGGGAAGAATGTCGGGAAGCTTACTTAATACAGTCTGTGTGATCGCTTGAGCTTTTAAAGGCACGCTAGCTGAGGCCAGGTCAGTAACCAATTGTGTGTTACCATATAGTGCAAATTCGACAATAGCACCTAAATTGGGAATTCGTGCGTAAGATGAAAAGTACACAGCGGAACTTCTGCTTCATTTCGAAAGTTTGCCATTAACAGAATCGTAGGTTTGTTTGTTCGGGCAAGCTGATCAGCCGATGTTTGCAATTTTAGTTGTTTTTCTCTTTTATGATGTTTTTTTTTTATGATGCTTTAAGGCTCGAATAGATTTTGTAGAAAGTTGCTATGGCTAAAGAATTGCTTGTCCGTGATCGTTTGCGCGATCGCGTATTGCCATCAGACGTTTGAATCTTACCCCGTGGCCCGTTCGTGTTGTCCATCTAGATTTTGGAGTGTTGACGATAACAGCGCTATGTGAGCGCACGAGATTTCCTCGAAAAATGGTGTAATCCCATCGATACGCTCGATGTGCTCCGAGCATCATCTATGAGTCATCGAAACAGTTGCTTATAGTAAACACATAACGATTCCGTTGAACGGAGCGGTAGACCCACGTGTTTCGATGGTAAACACAGAGTGAGGCCTCATCGTGCACGATGCATATGCGCATGCTTTTGCATTTGAAAACACAGTCAAAAAGAAGTATCAGGTAGCAGAGAAAGCACAAAGACCTACTGGTGCGTGTTAGCGATCGACAAGAGACAAACGATTTTCATTAAAAGGTAAACTATGCAATGAATGTTGTATTACCAATGCCTTTTACTCTAGCGTAACTGGCTTACTGGGCTAGGGTGTACCGTAAATAGGTGGACTAATTAAATATCACGAATTTATCAGTGTACTTACTTATGAATTCTCGAATATACCATAGGCCATGTTGTACAAATCGGGACGAACTAGAATATCACATACCTTCTTCCTGAAGTGTTTTCGCCTTATTCGGTAACATAGCACTTCAATTTGACCATCGCAACTTTAGGTAAAATGCAAAATTACTTTTGCTTGTTTTTTGTTTGTTTCGGATAAATCGCGTCGTTTGTTTCGCATGCCAGAGCGCGAGCCAATGGCCTTTATGCTTCTATGCGAAGGTTAAACTACAGGCTAAAACAGTTAAAAGAACAAAGGCGATTTGATGAGCAACACCATATTAAACAACACGTAATAGGGGAACAATATACTTTTGCATAGTCATGGCCCCCCTTGTTCCCTTTCAGTGACCCTAAAAGGGGCATCAACGGTTGACGTCAATTTTCTAATCGTTA